TGCCTCCCCATAAACCTGTTTTTAGCTCGTAGACATACTATAGAGTTTTAAATTGTTTGTTGTAAAGAAAAAGCATATTGATTTCAAATATATCCAATCAGCCTACAATTAGGAGTGAATATTTGTTTGTGAAAATATTCCTCAATTTTTTTTGAGATGCTCAGTACCTTCGCTGCCATAAAATGTGCCAGAAGAAAAGCTTTGATTACTACTCTCTGTGTTTCGAGAACGCTAATCACTAGAGATGTACATGTATAGTTCGATAACGTCAGAGACCACGGACTACAAGTCTTGCGGAATCCAAATCCTTTTTATCTTTTGTCGTATTTCAACAAAACATTGTGATTGTAGTGTTTAGTATAGCAATACACTTACTCCGCATTCATAAAAGGTTTTAGTCGTTTTGTCGCTACATATTTAATTCAACCATGTTGGTGAAGGGAACTCTCAAGTCAATGATGCCGGTCAAAAGCTATTTTTATGGTTTATGTAGCATCAAGCCTAGAAATATCTTTTCAAATATTGGTACTATCTGAATGGTGAATTTTGCCATTAACATAACAAAACAAATTTCCAATCTAATCACACTGCTTGCCTTCATTGCTCTGCTATTCGATGCGAAAATCTCGCGCAGTTTCGGAGCGATGGAGACACATGAGCTATAATTAGATGCATAATTTTAGATAAAGAGAAAACACGCGCTAACCCCACTACTAAACTTCATATTTTTTAGATGTCACGTAATCACAATCTGCAATGTCATTATATCATCTCATAATCATTTTTCTGTTCGCTTATGAAATCTTTGGAATCCTAAGAACTTAACTTGAACGTCCTTTCAAACATCATCATTTTAAAGCCTTCACGTATCTAAAATGGCAAATGGGAAAAGCAAAGAATTTTCTTTGTTTTTGAAAAGTTGTACTCCGACACACTCTTCACATGCACTAATTTTGTTCTGAACAAAATGGTTCGAATAACGTACACAACACCTGACTGCTCTTGCTAATGACATACGATGTATACTTAATGAGAGCATGGGTATTCGTCTCCTCTTCTTGTTATCTCCATGCTCTGAATACTCTCTCTTTTTTAACCCAACCACTTAACAAAACTAGGGGCTTGAGCATTTTTTCTTTCAATTTTGAGGTAATAGCCTGTACTTTACATGTATAAAAGATAATGCTGCGCGTAAAATATCTTCTATATTATTTCATGCCTTAGACAGCATGAGCAATGATTTTGCCTCTCTTTCACAGTTTT